GTATCGATGTATTGTATTGGTCTGGCTACCCAATAAGTTAGTTTACCAGGAGTGTGTGGCAAAGAAATAAAAATGATTACGCTTGGTTGGGTATACAAAAATAAATAGATCAGAGATAACAGACTCATTAGCAAATGTTCTCTTTAAAACAGTTCGTCGTTGGCCTAGGTCAGCCGATAAACAATAATCCAATCATGTTGGTCCAGAGGTCTTCCTCTGAACAGTTCCCACATATAATAGATTCCGAAGATGGTCTGAAATGTTTTGGTACCAGAGTTAGTACATGAGGCTCGCGAATGACCGCTACAAGCACGAGCGAAATCAGAAGCAAAAGTCAAAGCACGTAACCACGCTTGTATTATCTGAAATTGTACAAGTGCGCGTTTTTATAGTTTTTCGTATTCAAACAAAAAACGATTATGCAATTGATGGAATACGTAGTGTTTTAATGGAAGTAAATAAAGGTACAAAACGCCACACACCTCCCCCACTAGAGCGTTGACCATGAAATGGGAAAACGTTCAAATAACTAAAGTAACGAGTCAAAAGTTGCTTACTTCAAGTTTCGTAATCAGCTAAGTGCTGAAGGAAACAGGCGCGTGGTCCGGAACGACAAGTGGAAGGATTGAGGTTGGCGGTAGGGATATATTCGGTAGGCGTGGGTGTTGTTGTGTCAACCTCCGTCTCACTGAGAACCAGCTGCCACGGAACTGCGCATCCTTTCTCCGACCCTTGACGACCGTTACAGGGCTGTCCATAAACCGAAGCATGTCAGTGCGATGATGGCATTGCACTGTCGTACCCAGTGAGGTGGCACTCCCACAATTATTTTCTCCAGAATCTCGACCGCAACCCCTCGCCCATTCAAGCCTGTAGCCACAACTTCGAGCGGTTCTCATCAGGCCCCGTCTGTGGGGTGAGCTCTTCCGTACCCAATGAATTTTCGCTCAGATTTGGCTAGCTCGGCTTTTCCGTTTGTCTTGCCTCTTGCACAGGTTCAAATCCGTATACGGAGTTCGGGTCGCCCTATGTATTAGAAACTTTCCCCCATCCACCCTATCCCCCTGCACCCAACTTCCCTACAACAGCGCAACCAGTGAGTCTGCTTACATTCAGATAAAACCACATTTTTTGAGACAAAACTTGCCATGTGCTCCCAATTTGAATTATCGCATCTCCATCTCCACTTTTGGCCAGCGCCTCGAAGCACAATGCATTCTTCTGCAAAACCCCTGCGGGTGAAATAAAACTCTAACGTCAAAATGTTGCACCTCTTTGGATATATGCTCAGCCTAAAAATAACCCTCTCATACAGAAAACGACTATGCAATTGATGATCTACGTAGCGTTATCAGCGTTTTCGGACAAATAACAAGCAAATTAACCAGTACAAAATCACGAAATCATAATAAGAATGAGTAATCGAATGAGGACTCACGAATGCGTAGATCCAAAAATCCATTACACCGATCCAAATGCAGTAGCGGCTGTGAAAGAAATATTCACTCGTAGAACTTCCCGACGGATGATTCACGTATGAGTGATATATTCCACGATAGGAATGTTATTCACGGTTGAAAAATGTCACGGGGGTTTATTGTGGCTTTCAACAGTTGACGCAAACACAGAGATCTAGTCCCACTGGTTCAGCGGTTGGCAAAAAGTCCAACGGAGCGTAAATACACTCGTTCAGCAAGATGCCAGCAGGTCGCACCGGAAAATTGTGTTTGTAACATTAAAACAAGCGTTATGATAAGATATGTATGGCAGTTACAAAGTGTAGTTTAGGTTCAGGAAAAATGGTGAATATGTATCAACGGATTACAGACACTACAGTGCTCCCCCTAGAGCGTTAGGAGTATTGAGGGGGAATGACGCTCGATAATGTGACAAAACCTCAACGGATGTAGTCTGCGAAGCGAACAGGAGTCTTGCAGGTTCGACCAACACGCGTTTGCTTCAGGAAAGGTAATTTGTAATCGTCACTACGTCGTGCTATAGGTTCGGGGTTCCCTGGGACGACTGTACGAGAGTTTCGGGAACTTGTGGGTAAAGTGACTAAAGTAGAGGGTTCTACGTGGGCTTCATCATCAATGAATGCAATTTTGAGTCCATCGATACCGCCGGAGTCCGATTTTCCGTTTTCCTCAATCAGAAAGTACTTGTCCTTGCGAGAAATGACTTTAAACGGACCATCATAAGGATATCGCGACGGTAGTTTGATGCTGTGAACACGGACAAATACATGTGTACAAGAAGGTAAATCGGGGTCCAAATGTGTGCGTCAACCGGATTTCCGAGTGTCACACGGGCGAAGAGTACGCATATGATCTTGCAGTCGACTGATGTATGCCGATGGTGAGAGATCTTCATTTGGTGTGGATACGCATACCATATCTCCAGGAAGACATGGCGTTCGTCCATAGACAGGTTGGGATGGAGTGCAACCAATATCCTCTTTCACGGTATTCCGAATACCAAGTAATATAACTGATATCAATTCGGTCCACAGCTGTGATGATGACGTAGCCAGATTGGCGGCTTTCAGTTGTCGATGAAGGCGTTCTACTTAGCCGTTGGCTGCAGTATGGTAAGCTATAGTTAAGAAATGATTGCATCCCAATAGGTGGTTCAGTTTACGAAACAAGGCATAGGTAAACTGTCTATCACGATCCGTAGTGATGCTCTTAGGGACACCAAAACGGGAATGGACAAGGAGTCTGGCAACGGTCTCGGACGGACAATCGCGCATGCGGGGCGCTTGAGGCCAGCGCGTGAAGCGATCGACTATTGCTAACACATTGGAACATTCATTGAATGGTGGAAATGGTCCAACGATGTATACATGTATATAATGGAAACGGCTTGCAGGTAAGTTGAAGCTCCCGTTTGGCGTAAACGTGCTTTTGTGAACTTTACTCCGTTGACAGGTTTTGCACTGTTTCGCCCACTGTCGGATCACTTTCTGCATACCAGGCCACAAGAAACACTCACAAATTAATCGAGCGGTTGAGCGGTTACTCGGGTGTGAAATAGAATGGAAACGCGTAAAGGCTAACCTACATTAAAACAAACGTCATGATAAAATATGTACGACATTTACAAAGTGTAGTTTAAGTTCAGAGAAAATGGTAAATATGTGACAACGGATTACAGACACCACAGTCCTGTGCATTAGTCCTTAAAACTGTGAACTCAGTTAATGAATCCATGGACCCAGAAACGTGCATCGATGAATTCCAACCAATCAGGTCACTGATTCCTCCACAGATTTCTGCCCTGCTGGTAGCGTCCATCGCGGAAAGCGCTCGGTTTTCGTCGCTTAAACATGGATACTGATTTGTATGACGAATTCGGAAATTATGTAGGCCCGGACTTGATGTCAGACGAGGAGGAGCCTGCTGATGATGGCAGTTTACCCGATGAGCAAGGTTCGGATGATGAAATGGATGAAGAGCGAATGGAGCCGCAACATAATCTGGACGACGCACAGGAAGAAAGTCTTGCTGTGAGTTTCATAGCATTTAGGGTGCATGTTCCGATTTCCTTTATTCAAAATTCTTCTGCGCATTCGTACCATAGTCGTATTTCCTTGCTACCACGCATAGGCTTTGGTTATCAACAAGCTACTTGACTCGAGTGATTCTGTCGATTTTAACCGCGCCTGTTCAAGAGGGGTTGTCCTTTAAGTTCGTGAACATAATCCGATCCCTATATTCACATACGACTAAAAATACCGCCATATAGCTTTGATTACCGCGTGGCGGCATCTGCCAGATTACAGGACGACTGATAATGACATACCTGACCACTACTGATGCCTCGCTTCTTCCCTTTTCATGTACTTCTTCCCCCGATATATTAATAATTCCCCTCGCAGACCCGTCCGCAAGGACTGACGACCCCGTTCATCTTGCATCCCACTTAGCCATAACATCGGGTTTGCTGGCGCCGACAGGCTCAAACGTCCAAATCTGTCTTCCCTCCTCGTTTCTCTCTCTCTCTCTCTCTCTCTCTGTCGGTTTGTAATGTTCTAAGTCTTTGAGCAAGCAGGACAACAAGCTGCTATTGCTATCGCACTGGATATGCTGGACACTGATTTGCGTAGCACATAAGAAACACGAATTCAGAATGTAACCTCGGCGTTTGACCTAACTGTCCAAGCACTTTCCACTCGCTTCCGGCGGCGCAACTTTGATGATCCAGGGGCTTCCATAAGGGCAGGCATCATCCTACTTCAACAAGTGAAGGAGCCCCTGATTGACTGGATATTCGTTGATAGTCGCCCCTGTGTGGTTCGTTCAGCAACGTCCATGAAGGGGTCTCAATCTAGGAGCTCAAAATGGCCGCAGTTAGGGCGCACGTTTACTGTCACCGAGGTCCGTGCTTCAACCCCGAACACTGCCTCTCGACTGCTCTTGGCTAGGCTTGGGAAGCCTGGAACTATCTCGGCGCTCGTGCTTCCTTTAGGCAGCATGGCAGCTAGGCACCGAAAGAGTGCTACAGCTGAACGATTATTTCATTATTCCTAAGTATCTGCTTAATCTCCGACCGACTGTATCCCTCGTTATAGCACAGAGTAGAATAGGAGTCGAACCTCATGCTTGTTGGTTGTATCCGTCGCCGTGGTCCAGCTAAAGACTGGCTCCATCCGGATCACAGTGTGCTCAGTTCACCTATCGTGGGTTAGTTATTTCTGCCGAATATCATTCGACGTACTTCAGTATTGCTGATTCCGTGTTCCCACCAGACTCGGGCAATGCTCTGAAGACATCGATGGTCAAACATTGACGCCCTCGGCGTTCGGAGACCAGGTTTCTGATCCGTAAGGTGACATGGAGCGCACCGCAGCATTGTAAAATCGACCCTTGATAGTTAGGCTGATGTCACGCCTATGCCACAGATGACGCAGCTTCACAAGGGCTGTTCTGACCTTCCCTATTAGAATGTAATTATCTTTCGTGAGACCGTCGAGACTGATACAGCTGGTGCGGAGCAACACGTAGATTCGTGTCTTCGAATTCCGAGGCTTTATTCATCTCAATGGATAACTCCAGTTTCGATAGACTCACAGAATACAGCTAGTACAGACCAAGTCGACTACCGCATTCGCCAGCAAGAACCGGAGTGAATCTGATAGGATTTCGTTGTGGAAGGACCATAGGTGAGTTCTTCGACAAGAAAATTAGCGAAAAAATAACGCAAGCATTTTAAAGGAGAGTCTCTGGCAAAACGGCAACTGTGCATATGACAACAAGTAAAAATAATCAACACAATTTTGGGGATAGGGATACCTTGTCCGGGTGTTGTCAAACCAACCTTACTGTAGTGGCACTTAGGTAGACGGTTTGGTGCTGATCTAGACCCTTACCGCACTAGTTAGAAATTTGCCCGATAGGTCGTGCAGCTGGGACACCCAGAATAACCTGCGAAAGATAATAATAAGATAATCGTTCAGCTGCAACTACTTTCGGTGCCTAGGTGCCATACCACCTGAAGGAAGCACGAGGGCCAAGATACCGCCAGAGTTGCGGAGCCTAGACTGGGAAAGTCGAAATGTAGAGGTCGGATTCGAACCATGGACCTCTCGATCAGTAAATTTGCGCTCTAGCTACTGAGTCCACTAATAGAATCCTGTTCAAGAATGCCCCGTTGCTATAAGTTGTGGCGACCGGTCGTCGAATAAACTATCAGTATGCATAGCTTTCCTTCAAAGCGCTTGGGGTACGAAGTTATTCAAGCCTTTATGCCGCAGGCATCAACCAGTCACCATCCGAGTTGACGATGTTTTCCGTGTCTGTGGGGTACATCGTGATGGGCGTCTTGGAGGTCAATTGCCCGACCTCAGCAACTTAACTTACTCAGGACAGAATTAGAAAAAAAATCCAATGTTGGAAAAATGCTAGTGGATTTTAATAATTCTAAGCTTTTAAATACGTTTCATCATGGCCGAACAAGTGAGGGAGCGAAACTGCACAGTATGTATGTCTAAATACAATGACGTAGGGTGAATGCCTTCGCGAAGAACTGGGCGTTTTCGTGGTTCATTGGTTTGCGTTCGTCAGTGACCGATCGCGTTGTACTGCAGGATCTCCTGCTAGGTTGGCCAATAGATAGACGTTTGGCAAGCACAATCCTGGTTGGGGATTAGGATATGTTTGGCAATTTTCCTGCTGCTATTTAATTTAATGTAGTAGTCTTACGCTGACTGCCGTTTTCCTACTTGCGGAGCAAAGGTGTCCCCCACAAATTCTTGACCCTCATTAAGGCGCTGTACGCCAACTCCCGCGGCCGTGTAAAGGTCTACGGGAAGCTCTCTCCTGAGTTCACCACATCAAGTGGTGTCCGACAGGGTTGTCCTCTTTCACCTTTCCTCTTTAACTTCGTCATTGATACGATCATGGAAGACTCACTACCAGCCTCTAATGCCTGTGGGGTCGAAGTGCTCCCTGGGCCTCCGCTCACAGACATCGAGTACGCAGACGACATAGCTCTTCTAGGATCTGACCCCGTGGCATTGCAAACAATACTAAATAATCTAAATAATTCTGCCTCGCGGTTTGGTATGCGCTTCACACCTGCAAAGTGTAAAGTGCTACTGCAAGACTGGGTGGGCTCGAACCCTAGCCTCATGCTTGCGGATGAACCGATTGAGGTAGTAGACAAATTTGTTTACCTGGGCAGCTGTATCAGTCCCGGTGGTCTCGCGAAAGATGAAATTTCCATCCGGATTGGGAAGGCCAGAGCAGCTTTTGCGAACCTACGTCACCTGTGGCGTAGGCGTGACATCAGCTTCTCTGTCAAGGGTCGAGTTTACAATGCTGCGGTGCGCTCCATATTACTATATGGATCAGAAACCTGGCCGCTGCGCGCCGAGGACGTCAAAAGACTTTCAGTGTTTGACCATCGATGTCTTCGGAGCATTGCCCGAATCTGGTGGGAACACCGGATCAGCAATTCTGAAGTACGTCGAATGGTATTCGGGAGAAATAACTCACCCTCGATAGATGAACTGATCACACTGCATAGGTTGCGCTGGCTTGGCCACGTGCTGCGTATGCCAGTCGACCGACTTCCTCGAAGGGTTCTTTTCGCACAACCACGTGAAGGGTGGAAGAGATCTAGAGGCGGTCAAACAATGACTTGGCAGCGAAGTATGAAAGCCATTACCAGCAAACTCAGCTGTGCTGGTAATTGTCGTCTTCCTGGATGGGGACCCCGAGACGGCATAATCAATGGCTAGAGACATTGTCAGATATGGCCCAGTCGCTCTCTCAATGGCGTTCGTGCACCCAAGCTCTTGCGTTCAATGCATATCTCCTTTTCCAACCCCCCCACTTGACAGGCCACTGACAATGCTGGGTTTATGCACCAGTTTATCAGCTCCCGCATGCAATGCGCAGCTACCTACCCCTCCCCCCAAACCATCGGTGAACGAAACTGCGGCAGCTACAACTACTGTATGACGAGTGCGCGGTTATTACATCTGACAATGATGATGATGATGATGACCGTTTTCCTACTGGCGGGCTTTTGAGCCAAAATCTTTGGGTGAGGGCCTTAATCAACCGCTATCTGGGTTTGGGAGCCAACACAACCTTGAATTACGCAGAGAAATATACCATCATACCGCATTGGCCGTCTCGTGGTGATACCAACTGGGTCATCCTATTCACTGGAAACAACAGGGTGGATAAGCGAAAGCAGGTGAATGCCGACACCGCCATCTTTTTTCATTGTTGTCTCAACCCTTTTCCCCATTTGATAACCACTCTTCTCTGGCGCCCCGCAGCAGTCACGCCAGTTCGACACCCACAGATGTGGCCATTTTCACACCGTAACTGCCGCCCTACTTTCGCAAATCGTCTCCGGGTTTTTATTGCAACCGTAAATTTTTGAATTCTTGTGTAAACTGGTCAACAACTTGCTTTTGCGAATACTTTTGATACTTTTTCAGTGGAGACATTTACCTTCTGAAATCCATTTACGAGATTCAGGTAAAGTCGTCAAGCTCATGGCATGCTTGTTATCTGTGCTTCTAAACTGAGTTGACCCACTTCCTCGGAACTAGACAGGAATAAATGATCTTGACGGAATTTCATAAGATGCGTCCCGTAGACTATCTTTATACAACGGATTCTTTGTAGGTTTAGTAGTGGAATGTTTTATCATTTCCTGTGTCAGGGCTTTATTTGCGCATTGGAATATTCGGTCGATCGTTCAACCAATTTAATTATACCGTTGTCCCCGGTTAAAACTCTTTCAAAAGACGGACAATCCGTTATAAATGAAATGAAGATGGACGTTTAATTTCGAATGGATTTCAGTTCAAGGGCAACTACTCTCAATCTTTTTAGCTCTGAAAGGAATGTTGTTTACTTTCGCAACTTTACTTCCCCAGGTTGTACTACATGAAGACAAGAAGTACTACCCCAGCGCCCTCGAAGTCTATGGCCCTGATGTGGAGACGCTGGTGCAAGAAGAAGATGCGCAACCTCTTACACAACCTCTCGTGGAACCAGTCAGACACAAAAAGTTTGCTTATACAGAAGCGAGCATCCCAAGGACAACATATGATCCGGAGTTCTTGGCTGATTTGATGGACTGTCCAGATCTGATTCGAAACGTTGTGCTATGTGGCCATTTGCACCACGGCAAGGTAAATCTGAACATTTCGTGTTTTCTATTATATGCTTGCTAGACCTCATTCGTCGACTGTCTGATGGAGCAAACACATCCGGATATTTCGGCCAAGGGGGATAAAGATGTGAGTGCAGTGTGCCATTTAATTTCGTAAAACTCTTTATTTGTGAATGATTGTTCACACAAACGTTCTGAATTCTGCGCGCTTTTGCATTCGTTCACGGAAACGCACTTGTCTCTAGTATCTGTGACAAGCCTGCTTCCACCCGAAATGTATTCATTTCCTGTGAGTACCTCGGATCTTCCTGTTGTAGTCACCGACGACACGTTTACTTACACTTTTTCAAGTAACTTTGGTGGTGTTTTGCTGCGGATCCGTTAACCGTTAGCTGTGAAACGTTTTGTTTGCGTTGATCTCGCACAATGACTTATCTGCCTTTTACCGCTATCTACTTTCATTTATCAATCATAATAAGTTTTCGCTTGTTGTGTGTCTGCCCCACAGCTTCGGTACACTGACTTTCTCCACATGGAAGTCGAACGTGGTTTGAGTGTGAAGTCGACGCCCGTCACTTTGGTCCTGCAGAATATGCGTGAAAAAGCCTACCTGTTCAATATCTTTGACACACCCGGTGAGTTTTCGAATCTGACCATTGGTTCAACGCACTCCTCATTTGTTTGTCACTGTCTTCGCCAAAGCCACTGTCAAAGTTCGTCAGTACACTCGCTTATGAGTTTCTTTTTCTCCAGATATGTGGTTTTCCATCGGACTGGCTTACGCATTCTTACTTTCTCGTCAGACCTGGCTGTACAGCTCTCTATTGCCCACCGCGTTCCCTGTTTGTAGGCCACGTGAACTTTTCCGATGAAGTTACCGCTGCCTTCCGTTTGGCTGATGGTGTCTGTCTAGTTGTCGATGTCAGCGAGGGTGTGTTGCTCAACACCGAACGAGTTCTCAAACACGCCCTGCAAGAGCGTCTCCCAGTTACTCTGTGTATCAACAAAATCGATCGCCTAATTTTGGAACTGAAGTTACCTCCTACAGACGCTTACTACAAAATCAAACATATCATTGATGAAGTGAATTCGATTTTGCTCACTTTCTCGGAGACAACAGGTAAGTTGACCGTTTTTGCTTCCGGCCTCCCGGTGAAGACCACTTCTTATTAACTAAATTCTAAACTGAAATTGATGAGTAACCGCGTCCAGACAAGGGGCGCTCAACCATGTGCCAGGGCTATTCATCTTTTCAAAATGAAGATCGTCACTTACACACTTCAGTAGTCGGAGTTCACTTTGCTGATAGCCATATCATGTCACTAGCCATTTTTCGATGTTTCCAGGACTCCAAAGTGTTCAGCGTATGGTGTTTCAGATACTTTCTCTGTTAGAAGAATGTGGAAAGGTAGTTGCTCTGACCTTCGGTGTGTAGGTTTTTTACAGAGTGGTTTATGAATTGAGAGGCAGTTAAAAGTGACCGCGGATTCTGTTGCCCTGTTGATTTAACGGGTATCCACGGTTTAAGCAGTTTGCTAACTCCATGGTAGTGTGTGCTGCTTATGACTGCAGATTACACTTCTGACAGCTCGCATTAGAGCCAAGCTTCCGTTCCATCGATAACCGAGTTCCGTTTTATTGAGACCAATTGAAACTATCAAAACCTGGTAAGAACTCAGCAAAGCGCTAGCCTCAGGTACCTTAAAGTTCAAAGACATAATCAGATCGGTTCAGTTTTTCATCCACGAGTTTCCTGCAATCGTACTTTGGTTCGGGCTTTCGCAGCATTTAGACAATTATAATGCAAGGTCAGATGAACTAGGATGAACTAACTAACTAATTGGCTGTCCAGTTTTGTTGCGCTACACCTACCGTGGGTAATTCTCTTGATCTCTGCCTCTTACCAGGTGATATGGGAGACTCGCAGCCACTGGTGAGTCCTCTGCTCGGGAACGTGTGTTTCGCAAGCTCGTACTATCGCTTCTGCTTCACACTGGACTCGTTTGCAAAGCTCTACGCGGACACATTTGCCCCCGGGATGGATCCGGACGAATTGGCTAAACGCCTGTGGGGTGATATCTACTTCAACTCGAAAAGGTAAGCTGCTGAGTTCTGTTTCCTAATCACTAATTATGGTGTATTTATCCTCAATGGCTGGTGCAACGATTAGGGCTAATTTACCTTCCACCTGTGCAATCTGTCGCCACATGTTCAAGTTACCTTGAATGGGTATCCACATACCTCTCACGTTGTCGTGAGTCGAGAAAATGTTTCCTTCGTGTTTCTATTCAATAATCCACCTCGGGGATAATCTGCGGAGCAAGTCGATCCTTGTTAGCTCCTTGTCTGTTTGGCTGCCATTCTTTGGCAGCGGTCTGATATCTGTTGATTCCAGCTTTATTTCTGGGCTTCATCGTAACGCTCCGTCCCTTACACCGTTTCATTTTGATAACACTGTGTTGGTATCCACAGGCTTTAGCTATGATTTTGTATTCCAACTTATCGAACAGTAGCGGCAAATAGCCCTAGTTACTATCCGGATTTTTTCCAGGAACACTGCTTTAGCCTCCTTTGCCGTACCGAACCGTATTTAGTCAGTCACTCAGCTGTAGCACCCTTTCGGTGCCTAACTGCCATGCCACCAGAAGTAAGCGCGAAGGCTGGGTTACTGCCAGGTTACTCAAGCCTAGACGGGAAGTCGAGAGGCAGAGGTTGGGGTTCGAGCCACGGACCTTCCGGTCACTGAGATATCTCACCCCAACCCTGGTTAGGCAACCACCAACAGATCTGACAGATTTCTGTCGCAGTTGGAACAATGTTGTACTGAAATTCACCAGCGTTTTTTCAAGATGGCGGTTTCTTCCCCTCGGAGACCGATGATAGGCTGAAGATGTTAGACGGGAAACAGCGAGAGTAGTGCTTAGTATCGTGGGTCTTAATGGTCCACTGTTATGATTGCTCCGTTTCTCAAAGTACTGAATCGAGTCTTCATGAACATCTGGATAACCGCCTTACCCTGTGAGATGTCGTCCACATGTATCTTCGCTTATTTCAGTGGACCTTTGAAGTTTCGATCTTGAGCGTGAGTAAACACGTTTGAATGACCCAGGTCCACCACCAGAATCCACTGACTCCTGTTATGTATCTTCGCTTATTTCAGTGGACCTTTGAAGTTTCGATCTTGAGCGTGAGTAAACACGTTTGAATGACCCAGGTCCACCACCAGAATCCACTGGACTCCTGTTGTTATTTTGCTGTCCCTGTCCAGCAGTAAGCTTTTGTGTTTGCGGTCCTCTTTTATAGGCAGTACTACTATTTGAGTAATCAGTTACCATCATCATGGATAAGAATGGACACTTGCTCCACCACCGTACAATCACAAATTTTTTCCTAGGCTTCCCAGATGACCGTCATTCTTGCTTTTGTCCAACAAACCCATCGATATCATCAGCTTTAACGTCCACTCTACAGTATCTCTCCAAGATAGACCACTGCCTGCAGTGTTCTGTCTTCGGGGACTTATCTGTAGAGTATATTTTTGCCTATCCATTGTTATGGAATGAAAGTGGTTAGTTATGACATAGTGCTCAACTCATAGGGACGATGAGCCGCAGGGGAACCGATCAGAGCTGGAAACTACTACAAAAGTCCTGAATGGTGTAGCCAAAAATAAGGCCTTCAGAGAGATTGTTGTATTATGATGTACTTGATCGTCAAATCCACCCGGAAACCCTACGAAACAACTGGATTTCCAGTCCGATCAAACAGCATCGGCGATGCTTCGTATTTATTGGTTTATTTAGTGGTTTGTCTCTTTTAGAGCACAGATGGCCCCTCTAGACAGATCACTTTTTGAACATGATCACTGCATAGCGAAGGCCAATTTCAACTAATTGTTTCACATAACCATATGGGGGGTGTCGCAGTATAGCCGTGCAGATGAAAATCTTATTTTGGGACCTGTGACTTCGTCGAGAACAACGCGGCTTGTGGCGGACGTATTTAGTTTCGTAAAAAAAGGAAACTCAGTCCACAGGTTTTATTTCCTGCTGTCTGTTTGGAGCTGGTGGCGGTCTAAAAGGTGTCAGTTTCAAGTCAACTTTCACGGGGACTTAGTTGATCAGTAGTGTTTTGGTTTGGAACAACTATGGGATGTGGTCACTGCGTACCTTCACAACGTAAACATTGTGACTACGTTATTTCCCTTTGAGCAGTTGATTAGCATCTGAGCGCGGAACTTTTTGTTTTATCGAGTTCCTCAGGGGTAGTTCTTTGACCCCACCGATTCTGAATTTACTGGTCCTTTTGTTCGGTCCGTTTCTTTCCAGTCCGTTTGCACTCTCTTCTCCCATTTCAGTCGGAAATTTTCAAAACGTCCTCCAGCCAATAATTCTCAACGCACATTTGTCGAATTCATCCTTGAACCCTTGTACAAAATCTTCGCCCAAACTGTTGGTGATGTGGACACGTGCCTGCCCTCTCTGTGCACAGAGTTGGGTATTTGGTTGAGTAAATCGGAAATGAAGATGAACGTCCGTCCCCTGTTGCGCATCATCTTCAAACGATTTTTCGGGGACTTTTCCGGTTAGTTCTTTGGGACCCTTCTTGTTGTGACGTTTAATGAGACAGCGGTTCATTGATGAGCGGCCCAGTAACATCTCCGAATCCAACATCAGCAGCGTTTTTTCTCTCAGAATTTGCTTTGCTTTACTTAACTAGCGATCAATCATCTGCTTATGCCACTTCTGTAACTCGACTAACTTTTTTAAGATGTAAATTGGAGGACTCGTTCGGCAATCTGTTTCTGGACAAACTTCAAGTTTGATAGCTTGGCCATTTAGAGACGTAAACAGACGATAATGAGATTTTTGTTGCTATCTAACTGTTGTCTGTCATCTGAGCACCTCACCTCAACAAGAGAACATTTACGCGATAGGCACCTTTTGCTTGCCCTGCGGTCTTGACATCATAGTGACGAGGGGTTGTTACCGCCGTCACTTGCAACGGTAACCGTCAAATTTTCCCCACCTGACTATTGGAGTCGACCCTCGGAGGCTCATACACAAATCTCTACCAAAGCTCACGAAATTTTCCCCACCTGACTATTGGAGTCGATCCTCGGAGGCTCATACACAGATCTTCTTCTCTACCAAAGCTCACATCACCTCAGTTCACTCCGTGGACGTTTCGATATCTACCGAAATGACCATAAGCCAGAGCCGTACAGTGACAACCGCTCGCGTAGTGTGTTTAGACGGGTATTGGCCTGAGTTCCGTGTGTCTCTTTGGCTTAAGGTACGAACTGCGGGCTGCCACATCTGTGATTCGAATCCAACCGTTTCTGGATCCGAAGGAATTAGCCACTGCTCATTATTGAGTATTTGACAGTTTTGCACTGAGAGGACACCACAGGTGACAGTTTAATATCCTTCGACGGAAAAACCTTCCGGATCATTTACTTTCATGAGCTTGATTATTGCTCCCTTTCTTTAATCTTTATTGCAGGCTTTGTGCACATGTGCGTTACTCACATCCCCAGTCCGGTATCAGCAGCCCCTGTCAAGGTATCTAGTTGCTACACTGGTCCGTTGGATAGTCAGCTGGCTCGCGATATGCTCAAGTGCAATATGGATGTGAAGCAAGTGATGGTCCACACGACCAAGTTGTATCCCGATCCAGAGGCGATCACGTTTCATGTATACGGCCGCGTCATGTCTGGCACGCTTCATGCTGGACAAGATGTCCGTGTTTTGGGTGAGAATTACTCTCTCACTGACGAGGAAGACTCGAGACATGCTACTGTTGGCCGACTCTGGGTGTCAGTCGCAAGGTGAGTTCTCACTTTTCTTGCATGACGTGCTTGTTATTTCCCCAGGTATCGGCTAGAAGTCAACCGTGTGCCGGCTGGGAATTGGGTCCTCATCGAAGGAGTCGACCACCCAATCGTGAAAACCGCCACCCTGACTTCGCTGGATGCCAAAGGCGCTTGCATTTTCAGACCGCTCAATTTCAATACATTGTCTGTGGTGAAAATTGCGGTAGAACCTGCCAACCCATCTGAGCTGCCCAAACTCTTGGACGGTTTACGTAAGGTGGGTGAATTCATGTTGTTTCTTCCTTGTTAGTTCGTCCACCATAGGTTTCCTTACGATTCCATATTTGCAGCTGTTGTTGCTGCAGGTTTTTTTCATTTAAGCATGAAAGAATATGCACCTGAATATCTTTTCAGAAAGTCCCAGTCAGTCCTGGTAATGACTGAAGTACGAAAACGTCAGTGTATTTGGGAAGTAGTGGTGGGCTAAGGTCAAGCTCAACTTTCTCGGACATCCAATGGCCGAAGTTTGGCATTCGGCTGCATTCCTCGATAAATACTGCATATACGGAAACTTTCCCTTTGCCACGGATTGTAATGTGGTCGGCTTCCTGTTTGCTGTCCAACGGCCGTGCACTGACCAGTTTTCCTTACCTAAGATCTTCGGATTTTGGTTGCGTACCAGAGTCCTAAAGGCTTGGGGAGACCAACTGTATAACATGTTTCGTAGGTGTGTTGCGCAGTTGGTGACCCCCAGTTTCGTGCTGCTCTAATAAGTGCTAACGATCGTTTGTCTTCGAAATCTTTTCAATGCCCGGCTGCCATGCCGACCGAAGGAAGCACGAGAGCTGAGGTGTTGTCAGGTTTCCCAGGCCTAGACGTGCCGCTGCTGTCGAACTCGTATTCGTCAGCATGTCATGTTGCGCATGTCTTCTACCAATTCATTTGCAGTTGTAGTGAGACGTGTGTAGTTAGAACGGTCCATTGCCCTTCTCAGCGGCTTGCTTTATCTTCAACTACCATATGGACGAGCACATCATACAACACTATGACGTGGTTCTATAGCAGGACTGTTTCAAGAATAACCAGCAATGCCCTGCGAAAAAACTACAAAACCAATCAGCTGTGGCTAGGATGGTGTAATTTCAAAATTCCAGAGAAGCATCTGGTGTAAAACTGCCTAAAACTGGGACGTTGGCATGGCAAAGTTCTTTACTAAAGTCCCCGCATGAAAAATGAATGGAAACGGTAGAACAGAACGGAAGTAAGCTATTGCTGTGAGGCTAAACAGGCGATCCGTGCACGTGGAACTGTAGAAGGAAGCAAGCTTGTCTAACGCACCGGTTTTAAACTTCATCAGTATAGTCTGAAAAATAAGTTGAGTAAAAGACACAGTGGTTTTTTTACTTTCCATCATGGCTGTTGCTTGAGCGAGGGGCATTGTCGTTTTGCCTAAAGGTGAACAGTGGCTCCGTAGTTCAGCTGTTGTAACATGCACACTCGGTGGGTATGAGGCTTGCCGTCCGTGTACCTCCTAGCTTGACATGTTATCTCACTTGATAGAAAGTACATTTCTCGCTCGGTATCTGCTTTTTTCAATCAGTGTCAGTGACGTTGTTCGAAATCCTTTGGAAGCAGAATCACAGCAATGTAAGGGCATTCGGGAAACTGTCTAATGACAAGATGTGGATAAGGTGTGTTACTAAAAGTACTACCAAATCGTCTACGTGAATTGCGGAAAGGCAACCGGCCTTAATGTCTTGGGAACACCTCATCAACCAATAATCGTCCAGCCAGCAACCAAAGGCGTTGATTGTCCGAAAGGACTGCTGTAACGGCTTGACAGATTCTGGATTTGTTGTCTAACGATATCTATTGGGTGGTGACCAGAAATTTTAGCTGTGTTCATCACCAGTTGAGATGTGGCACAAAGTGAATGATCTTATAGTGTCGTTGCCTGGAGAATGATGACATTTCATCACCCTCATCCATCGTCACTATTGCATACTGTGTTTATTGGCATTCACTGAGCTTGGCCCTTTGTTGCTGGCAAGACCCGATTCGCTCAGTGCGTTTGATAAACATTTAACCTCCCAGTTGGTGTTGGTCTTGTTGGGGAGTCGATTTCGATTGAATTGAGGGGCTGTTTTGTCAGTCCGTATTGTCATTCGTCATCTTACTGGCACATCTGGCTACGACTACTTGGCGAGTATTCTCTGGCAATTCAGAAGTGAATTTTCACCATAATTCCTTTTGAGTTTTCACAGCTTATTTCGTTTTTTTTGTTAAAGGTCAACAAAAGTTATCCTCTCCTGGCAACCAAAGTTGAAGAATCGGGAGAGCGAATTATCCGAGGTACAGGCGAATTGTACCTAGACTGTGTGATGCACGACCTGCGGAAGCTCTATTCCGACATAGGTGAGTTTCCAAGCTGTCAAGTCGCTTAATTAAATGGGCATAATCGGAAAACGATTCACTTTGTAAATTGTATCAGTGCGTACATCCCCAGTTACAGTAAAGATGCAAGTACATCACAACTAACTATTTGACCAATCATCACGAACAGCAATATGTTTTATAGTGCCGGTGTCCTCAGCTCAAGTACTTGAAGTCCAGACACCTTCAAGCACACTCTAACCATCTGGATAAAGACCGAAAACGGGCGACATCTGTGGGCAGTCATCTCACGATGTGTCTAGTGAGGCTTCTGTAGGACTGTGTGGAGCCTATCAACTTAATGCTTTAGCCAATCCATTGAATAACCCGTTATTCAGATTCTGTCACACCAGTAAGAGTGTACGACAAACCAAATAAGTCCACTACTGGAGTCTGTGCTTCCACACTCTGTTCCTGACAGTTTCGTGCACTGTGAATCACGGGCTTGATACCTCGGTCCAGACATTCGTGGGTATATAATAATGTCCTTGCTGGAAGTCCCTGACTTTAATCAATCATCCTACATCTCATGCACCGAAAAGGTATTGTTTCACCTGTATTCTTCGTTTTCTCCTCGTTACACAGAGGTAAAGGTGGCCGATCCCGTGGTAGCTTTTTGTGAGACTGTGGTTGAAACATCCTCGCTAAAATGCTTCGCCGAAACGCCGAACAAAAAGTAAGTTATTTCTCTTTATTTTTCGTTCTTTTGAATGGATGATTGTTCATGCTCTGCGTCATCTCCGACAGGGGGCAAGTATTCATCATTTTAGGTGAATGAACAATGGCTGAACATTTAACCACCTTTCCTTCGTGAGTTCATATGTGGCCACTGTGCATCTTCGCGATGACGGAGCCTTCGACACGCGGGGAGTGCTTTTGTGATTCAGAGGACGGTTTACGTTAACCGTCTCGATACTTGGTAACACAATAGGAGAATAGAGCACTTCGAGTATTCTCATCTGGAACTTTTGACCAGTTGCACCTTTTTCCATAAGCGAATAAATGGAAGGGTAATGAAAGTTTATATCAGCTGTGAGATGGATCAAGTGGTTAGAGGGCGAATTTACTGACTGGAAGGTCCGTGGTTCGAACCCGACCTCTGCCTCTCGAATTCCCCTGTCTAGGCTTGGGCAACCTGGCAGTATCCCAGCCTTCGGGTGGCATGGTGACTGGGCGCCGAAAGGTTGCTGCAGCTGAACGATTTTTTTATATCACCTGCTTAACTGTTTTGTATTGAATGCGTTAATGCATAATACACATGTACCCGCCCTATCACGATCGCATACATATAGCACCGAACTTCGCTGATCTGTTTCAACTGACCTGTCTCTCCTGCTCAGTGACTCAATGTAAAATGACTCCATTTCACTCTTCCTCTACCTGTTTCCCCATATTTAGAAACAAATTGACAATGATTGCCGAGCCATTGGATAAGGGTTTGGCTGAAGATATTGAAAGCAAAGCAGTTCAGATTGACTGGCCCAAAAAAAGACTGGGCGAATTTTTCCAGAAGAAATACGATTGGGATCTGTTGGCCTCCCGGTGAGTTTTTTCAACCACGTATGGAGGTATTCGATGCATCACTCACTGTTATATGACCCTTACTTTCAGCGCCGTTTAAGCATTATGGGCAGTGCTTTATTGGCAATACCGTGTTGTTGCCTTTTGAAACACGACTACATCTTCAGGCACCTCAACACAGTGATTACCTGTAGACTCCTGCAGATGTACAGATGTACAACCATTTACAAGAAGCCTTTCATTTACCGTTTTCCACTCATTTCGTTTCGAGTTGCGGTTATTCTGCCTCGTCGCCTTTCTTGGTGAGCTTTCCAAAGTGATCCTAGGAATAAACGACTTGCAGTGCCTGTATTCATAGTCGGTCGGTAGGTCAATAAAACTAGCTATTCCTGAAACAGCATATCCGCATGTTCTGTAATTTGGGGTTCCAAATCTAGGTTGCTTTCTGTAAGTCAGTTCTTTCGTCTTTGTGGGGAATCGTTAGCAGTACACATTGCGCGAGCACCTTCGGGAGTTATTCACTACCATATCGTGTGATGAGAACTGCACGAATAAAGGGTAAGTGAAGTTATCTCTTATCTGAATTCAAGCCACTAGCACTGCTGATCAGCCGCTCGTGATGGGTGGCGCACTCGGGATTTGTACGATCTCAGCTGGACTGACACGGCTATGCGGTACTTCCAGGCTTTTCAGAATAGATTCACTTCACTTACAGCACAGGATTCACAGTTAAAAGTATGCCGGTTATCTAGACGGGACCGACATCAGATTTGAAGGTCGATATCGGTACTCGAAATGGATGGTCACGATCTCATCCATCATCATCATCATCAACGACAGCATGACATCAGTGCTCAACACCAATGCTTCACTGCCGTACAGCCATGACTTATTTGAAAGCCTTATTGTAAAGAAAAGAATAAAGGTGGATGGGGGAGGGACTTAGTGCTAGCTTAACACAATCATTCCGAGGTGCCTACACCTCCAGAAATTCACTCAGGCAATCTGGACAGAAACTGACAACAAGAACACCACTGACATCGGTTGGCAGCCATATCTTGTAGTGTCTCCAACCAGGCACAGTGAGGATCACGCGGTCCCCATCCTGGAAGGCGAGTAGCACCGACAGCACCCAAGCGTTTCGTCATCTCCTTCATACTCCTCTGCCAGGTCATGGGTTGGCCACCTCATCCATTGAGCAATCCATCTCCGAGTTCTAAGACGGTCGGAATTGTACTCTTCCCATGAGTCCAGGGGGGCAGGTACCTTGTGAATATCCAAACTGTGAAAGCAGAATCCTAAATCAACCTCGCAAACATTAAGATGTAGCGGCCACCGATAGGACCGAGCAAAGAGGTTCGCTCCAGAGGCTATTGTAAACAGGCACCTATTGATGTTCACTTATTGATTTTAGAGGGATGACAATGTAGATCTTGACCTAAGGGCAAGTTCCACCAGCTACCAAGAATTTTGGGACTTGTTTTTTCCGGGTAGCCACAGGAATTTGATGACAACCGAGGATGGTCACTTATGGAGCTTTACTCTGTGGATTGTGGCGCATTGTGCACCGGCCTTCGTCCATGCTTTTGTGTGCGTTTTTTTATGGATTAGTCGCATTGCGCGGTTACTTCTAGCTTATTCAGTTTGCGCTGCATTGTACCACTTGGCTTTCGTGTTATTATTTCAAGCTACGCCTACGAAAAATACGTCGATCTCTTTGAGCAACCTGTCGCACTGAGTAGGCTCAGCTCCTCCTGTCCGACCGGAAACTGGTGCTTTCGTTGGTTTTATCGAACTTTCTCACGGTTGTACCTCTCAGTCTCACCTTTTTCCGCATGTTTTAGCTCTATTTGGGCTTTCGGTCCGGATGCCACAGGGCCGAACATCCTTGTTGACGATACGTTGCCTTCAGAAGTGGATAAAACCTTGCTCGGAACGGTGAAAGACTACATTGTCCAAGTAAGCATTATGCGCGTCCATTCCGTGACCCTGTTTTCTAAATCAAATCGATCAGTTGTTTTACCGCCGTCCAGTTTGTCTGGCGAATTCATGTATTTCTTGGCTTTGATTGTGTGATGAGATGATCAGGAAGGCAAGATATTGTGAGCATTCAAGTGGCTCTTCCTGCTTTTTGTCTGCGCCTCTCAGAGGATCTAGTGTCTAACGCGTTTTCAATGTGCTCGTTCAACTGAGGTTCGCGACTGTATTATATTGCAATCAACCGTGAAAGCCTGTTCGTCAGTGCATCACTTGACGAGTCGACTGCTTTCTAGTTGAAGACCACGTCTTGTGCAAGTTCGCGACTGTATTATATTGCAATCAACCCTGAAAGCCTATTCGTCAATGCATCAGTTGACGAGTGGACTGCTTTCTAATTGAAGACCACTTCTTTTGCAGCCTAATCTTGTAAGCAGGGTAGTAACCATCAACAGTTCAATTCTGGCCAGCGGACTGGAACGCCCAATCACCAAGCTACAAGCGTTTTTGAGAAATCTGAACCAAAGTGAGCAATTTCGTTCACATACTCAATGTGTGTGAGAATGTCCCGGGAGCATTTCGACTAACAAGGCTTCCGAGACAGACAGGAATTTCAAGCAGCACAATAAACAAATTGAAGAGGAAAGGCGAGAAGGGACAGCCTTGTCCAGACGTGATGAACTCAGGCAAAGCCTCTTGGACAGCCTTGTCCAGACGTGATGAACTCAGGCGAAAGCCTCTTGTATACTCGTAGCTCCCACAGGTGTTCGCGTACAGTGCACACACAAGGGCGAGAAATTCGGAAGGGACACCTCGGGTCGCCAAACATTGCCAGATTTTCTGACAATCAACAGATTCAAAAAAACGTGGGACGTTTAGAGGAATGTCGCTGTTCAAGAACTTGTCTCGATGTAAACATATGCTCGATCTATCCTCGGTCAGGACGGAACCCAGCTTTATTCTCACTAGTCTGTCTGATAATCGATCAACCTATGCAAAATAATGCTAGACAGCAGCTTAGGTGCGACGGATACTAGGCTGATACCATGATGGTTTCCGCTTGACCTTCTTGCACCCATTTTTGAAATTGGGATGACGGTTGAGGAGCTCCATTCGACTGTTATACTGTTTCCGTTCCAAATATTCCTTACCGTGGTTGTCAGACTATTCGCCAGGACCTCGCCACCTTCTTTGAAAAGTGTGGATCAGGTGCCTCGTCGCGTTGAAGGATTGATGTTACATACTGGATTTCTGCGATTGGTTTCGATGTTCCATTCAAGCCCGCTGGGTTTTTCCAGCGGTGGCTAACTGCACTGTCCTCTTAAGTGTTCAGCCCATCGCTCAAGATGACGATTGAGGGATGCCGTTCCATCTTTTTCGCATATCGTTTCGCTAACACTTGTCTTCTTTTAGCTGTTTTGTTGAATCAGCTGATATAGGGTGTGACTGTTGCCTGCAGCAACAGACCTCTCCATCTTTTCGGTTTGCATACTCCACCAGCGTTCTCTGTTATTCTTCAATCTCCCAATTATCTGGTGTTTGAGGGGTCTGCGTGCGCCATGACAGTTCCTAGTTTCTGGCAGCAATAGGGTCTGCTGATCTCGAAGGCATCCAGTGTTCATTCAGCCGAGTCAGATAGGTTGGACAAACTTAACTCGCCTCCATTCATCCCCCAAGCAATCTTCCTCGTTCCCATGACTGTACGTTTCCAGTAACTTTCTAGCCAGATCAGCTCGACACCCTTCAGCTACTGAAACTTGTCGAAGTTGATGAACAGAGCCGCTCTTTTTCAGCACGCGCGGTGCTGGCGGAAAGCTAAGTGTTGAGCGGGCCTGCACAATGGCGTGATCATAATCAAGTTGCGTAACCCAGAGGGAACGACATTCCTTAACTGAGGCTGTCCGTCGGTAACTGATAGTCATATGGTCCAATTGAGTCGACGACTGTCTTGTGGTAGATGGCCTCCAAGTAACTCGGTGCGTGCGTCTGTGTTGGAAGCTCATACTGGTCTTCACATGCGTGCGTTTGTGTTGGAAGTTCGTACTGGTCTTCACACAATTGAAGCAGCCGCTCTCCATTATCCGCACCCTCAGCATCGACTCTAAATAAACCACCTAACTATGCTTCTTCTGACAGCATCGACTCTAAATCGACCACCTAACTATGCTTCTTTTGAACTTAGTCGTCCAACTTGGGCATTCGTATCACCGGTCAGGGTTAATGGATCCGCCCTTGCCGACCGAAGCAGCCGTGACAGATCTTGATAAAACTCGTCCTTCTCAGTCTAAGAACTTCTATCTATTGGGGCGTATGCTGATACGACAAACAAACATCGTTTACCGCATCGACCTTCGTTAATCTTAATTGAGCTATGCAACCGCACAGCGCGAAGACGGCTCTACTGGCATCCTGTGCAGTAGGGCTCTTTCAGTATTAGGGTCGAGTGCAACTCCCACACCGTAGACATCACGAGCCATTGCGTCAGGATCACCGGATACCCGAAGAGTGAAATGTGGAACATCTGGACTTGAGGGGCGCGACCGAGGTGACGTCTTGTGTGCTTGTTTCGAAGGCAACGTACATCGAATGATAGGGGAAACATGGTTTCAACAGGAGATGGATGTTGCCCAATTTGACAAAGTACGAACATTATAGGCTTCAAAGTGGATCAGCCCGTTGGAGCTTAGTAAGTGCCTATTTTGAATTTTTCTTCTGAGCGATAATTTAGGCGGGGAACAGTCGTTATGTGACTTGTAGGTAGGTTGATCGCACTGCGTCATTCGGTGGTTGGTGAAGGGGTGTGGGGAAGCATGTTGAGCGAGGAGCTGTAAGGGAGAATGATATCTTCCGGTTTTCCAACACGACAAACAGGGTTTTGTTGAGGTACCAAACCTTGAGTTTTTTTTACTCAGAATTCTGACCCACAAGGTAGTGAGAAGATGTTGGGTTTTTTTCACGGACCCTGCCCTTCACCTCTGGCTCAAAATCTGGGACAGTATGGTTTTCTTGGGGGATCCTTCACGAAGCCAATGACCCAATAGTCTGACCCACTTGGCTGCAGGGGCCGGCCTGTTCTGTCCCTGCCATAACGCAGGGACTAAGGTATTACTGTATCATTCCTAATGTGCCTGTGCACAGCAGGTGCCTTTCGTGCAGCACCGGACTCTGGTTTTAAAAATATTTCGGCCGCATTGAATAGGGCGCTGGTGGTCACGGTCAACTCCTGGGCGATCAGAGTGTGTGGTTTTTAGTGCCGACCTTTTCTAACTTGTCTTTCCTCGGGGGAAAGCGGCATCGCTTACTCCATGAATATGGACATGTTGGTCGCCTGGGAGAAACATATTACTGCCTTCACACTCCCGCCGTAGAGGACAGTTGGACTTTCCCTCCAAACCGCCTCGTAATACGATTGCTCACAGAATGGGAACTCGCTGTTCTTCGTCGGGCTGTTGACCCTCCTGATATGGTCGCACCTTTGAGAACTGTGTTCCATCCTGTGTAGCCCGCAGGATCATTGCACCAGTGAAGTCCGGTCACCACGACTAGGTAGCAGCTTCAGGTCACCCAGTGTAGATTTTTTTCCTGGTAAGAAGGGATGTTTTACCATTATGACCTAAACAGTTACATTTCATGTTTCCCTAGCTTATGGAGTTGCGAAATTCTGGCATCTGTTTAAAATCTGACTGGCGTTAGCTTGGCGTTTTTTTCAGAAATATCATGAGCAAGGTGGAGATGGTCTCATGGTGTCATGACTGAAACCCTACACAAGCTATTTGGTTAGACACACCGCTTTTTTACTTTTCCTTCTAAGGAAGCCGTTGCTGCACATCTTGGAACATTCTCGACGGAGAGCCAAAAGGTTTACGTAGCCTGTCATTAACGTTTTATCCTGGCAATCCGGTGTAGACCAACCTATTGATACCCGAGTGCCATAACTGTCAGGACCATCCTTGTCCTTAGAAGAATGTAACCTATCAACGGATTGATTTTTTTGACGCTTCCTTTTTGTTTGATGTGATACTTGTTAACAGGGTTTCCAGTGGGGTACACGAGAAGGCCCGCTGTGTGATGAACCTATCAGAAATGTAAAATTCAAAATGCTGGATGCTCTCATCTCCGGTGAACCTCATCAACGTGGGTCTGGTCAAATCATCCCAACAGCGCGTCGTGTCGCATACTCTGCATTTCTAATGGCCACACCTCGTTTGATGGAGCCATACTACTTCGTGGAGGTTCAGGCTCCCGCAGATTGCGTCTCGGCTGTTTACACCGTGCTTGCTCGGCGTCGGTAAGTATTGCACCACAGGATTGTGATATGGATTTATCCTAGTTTGTTGTCGGTAAGGCTTGGCCCCCCTATTCGCCAATACAGTACTCACCAACGGTACTACTTTATTGGTTTCAAACACTGACAATAATTCATATCGAAACTATTGAGAATGCTTCCCATAATCAAGCTAGGAAGTGACTGTGTGTCCCTTCATTTAAAGGTCCCCTCCTATACACAAATGGGGACGAGATGGCCCAAGTGGTTTGAGCGCGAATTTACTGACCGGAAGGTCCGGGGTTTGAACCCGACCTCTGCCTGTCGACTTCCCCTGTCTAGGCTAGGGCAACCTGGCAGTATCCCAGCCATCGTTTAACATTCGGGTGGCATGACAACTAGGCACCGAAAGGGTGCTACAGCTGAATAGCGACACAAATCGAGGACAGTAAATATTGTTAATGCTCTTTCGTACTCGTTTGTTCTTTTTATCTTGAGATGCATCGGGAAAAACTGCTGGTGTATTCCTAGGCCGAAAAACACTGAAACTTGTTTCTCCGGCTAACTTCACCAATTTTACCTCTGGCGGGCTTGTAAACGCAGCTTGGTTCGATTTTTTTCAATATTCCCCACATGCCCAACCAGTTGGAAGGTCCGTGGTTTGAACCCGACCTCTGCCTGTCGACTTCCCCTGTCTAGGCTAGGGCAACCTGGCAGTATCCCAGCCATCGTTTAACATTCGGGTGGCATGACAACTAGGCACCGAAAGGGTGCTACAGCTGAATAGCGACACAAATCGAGGACAGTAAATATTGGCGATGCTCCTTCGTACTCGTTTGTTCTTTTTGTCTTGAGATGCATCGGGAAAAACTGCTGGTGTATTCCTAGGCCCAAAAACACTGAAACTTGTTTCTCCGGCTAACTTCACCAATTTTACCTCTGGCGGGCTTGTAAACGCAGCTTGGTTCGATTTTTTTCAATATTCCCCACATGCCCAACCAGTTATTGTTCCGATGTTTGGTCCAATGCACATAGCTACAAGAACTCAAGCAAAAAAGGTGTTTGATTTCTTGATACTTGCCTCTTATCCTACCGGTTTTCTCGTCCTCCTGGATGACGTTCATAATTCTCGCTTACCTTATTTTTGAGACGTATGCACTATCTCACTGCGTGACATTTGTACTCTACTCATCGGCAGTTATTTATCAATGCCACAAATGTTTCTGCGGTTAGGTAGCTAGGTTGCCAAATCAAGCACATGTTTCGAAGCTGTCCTCGCGATAAACCGTACGGATACGTGTTGTCATTTTGATGGGCCAATGTTCGATGGACAGCGACGGGACCTTGGCATATCAAGGGATGCAGAGGCCCGCAAGTACTGACTATCAATGATGACATTCGTCAATCATCTGATCTGAATTTTGTTGGTTGGAGCTAAGCATGCACGGTTCATGAGTGTTGTCCACGCTTACTCACTTGATGTTGTCATTGGCCGACAGTTTATCCATTCTGAACGTAACCAGCCGTGTAGCATCAAGAAATGGGTGTTGTTCAATTTTCTGGTTGACTGAGCACCCTTCTAAGACGAAAGCCTCCATTTTCTGTTTTCTAAAACAATGTGTTTTTCGTAGCTCTCTTGTCATTCAAGCTATTTCAAGCACAACGGTATCTGTACAACAATGTACCGAAGGATCCTGGTTCTTTCCAACCTTATTCCACAGCATACTCATATTTATTCAGTTCGTGCTGTGTCCAACGGTATGCTACTCAAGTTTTTCCACTATATATCGAATCACACTACCGTATATTTCTTATCCTTTTCAGTGGTCATGTGACCCATGATGCCCCTATCTCTGGCTCTCCTCTGTACGTGATCCGTGCGTTCTTGCCAGTGATGGACTCGTTTGGTTTCGAGACCGATCTGCGTACGCATTCACAAGGGCAGGCATTTTGCTTACTTGTCTTCAATCATTGGCAAATGGTTCCCGGAGACCCTCTGGATCGTTCCATCCAAATTCAGCCGTTGGTGCCTCAACCGGCCACCCATCTTGCCCGCGAATTCATGATCAAAACTAGGAGACGCAAGGTACTTGTGCTTGATTGATGCTTTTCTCCAATAGTTTAAATGTGAAGTTGACGCGTGTACATCTGCAGCTCCGAACCCGCTATTCAGGCTTGTTTTGTTTTTATTGAAATCCTATTGGACGATCTGCTTGAGGGCTCTCAGGTAAATCAGCCTCGTGTCTACTCTAGGTACTCTGTCGACTGGTTTCTGTTGCCTCTCTGAAACTCGAGTGCACGATCCAAGTAAATATGTTGACCATACGGGGCCCTCTCTCCCTGGACGCCGAACTTCGAGTGATCTTCCAACTGCTGTAGTGGGTTGCACCGTTTTTGGTGTAGGTGAAAAGGTCTCGTTGTTCTACTGGGTACCTGTAAACAACCAAGTCTCCGTTGTACGAGTTCCTACTTTGACAAAAACTTACACTGGTGAAAATGGTAAACGCTCTATGTTTATTGCGCAATGAACCCCAGCCTCGACTCATTGCAGGATACCTTTTTATGGAGAACTGACTACTGTCATGTGGACTACGCAGATCTGGAATGCACTTAAAATAGGAGGGGGTTTCAGTGTAATACTCAGCTGTCCCAGTTCATCAGAAACGGGCCCCGGTGGTGTGTTCAGTCTGAACACAAAGCACATTGATAGCGGTGAATGTCTTAGAATTTGTTGCTTCTTAGCAACACTTGATTGGGTTCCGATGCGGTGGGTGCCATTGTGCTGCCTGGTATTCTTTCCACTGCTGAGCAGTCTTGGGATCAAATTAAACACGTTGCCGATGGTGCGGTTCGCTTCCTGATTGCCGAACGTTTCGAAGTACACATGTTGATTCAGGCCATACTGTTGTTAACCGTAGGTTCATTCGGGCACCTTAAATAAACTTGAATAGCTCGGATCAGCGCGTCTCCCATGACGGTGTGGTGCATCTCGGTTACCTCTCTTGTAATACGTAACTGCTGGAAGGTTTCCATCAGAATTCGGTCAACATTTTTAGACCGTCGGATCAGGTATAGTAGTGTGGCTCTCACGTTACGGATGAGTCAGTCCTCCCATCCAAATGGAACTGAAGCACCATAAATGCAACCGAACAAAAGTCGGATTCGTTTATTGAAAGATGATGCAAACTGTACACACACGCCTCCCCAAGCACCTAGACTCGGAGGATAACGAAAGGATCATAATGCATAATTCAACATCACATCCTGTTTGGCCAATTCCAACAACATGGGGTCGTCGAAGAATTTGTTGATGCTGACGTCCTCATTCAAACCCTGTAGAGCGAATACGAAGGAAATGTTTAGTTGTATGCAGATAGTGAGGTCCTCTGTTCTGTGGGACAATACCACAGCTGGTACTCTGGTAATTATTGGAGAACAGCGACACACAGGTGACTGGAATATCGCAAGGGACATTGGAATTGGATTTTAATAAAACTACCAGAAACGAGGTAAATAATTGTACTACTACATACTTCTGAGACTTTGGAAAACCTTACATAATAGAGAGTCCGCAACGAAAAGGACTGCTTTGGAGACCAAGCACCGCCACACATTCAGACGCATTAGTAAAGCTAACAACAGCGTTACGACAGTTGTAAGGCGTATACCCCCTATGGTTGGAACAATCGAGGTGACATGTAAAACTACCAGAAACGAGGTAAATAATTGTACTACTACATACTTCTGAGACTTTGGGAAACCTTACATAATAGAGAGTCCGCAACGAAAAGGACTGCTTTGGAGACCAAGCACCGCCACACATTCAGACGCATTAGTAAAGCTAACAACAGCGTTACGACAGTTGTAAGGCGTATACCCCCTATGGTTGAAACAATCGGTTCAGGTGACATGCACGCACGAACAAACTAATCAGAGCGAAGAACGACGGTTTCTCCCTATGCTGTAACAACGACTGAAGAGCTCATTTGGCCCAGTAGACGGACGGCGTTTCAAAGTAGAAAGACACTTCATTAGTTCGTCAACTGATGGCAGACCTGGACTTACAGACAGCGCTCAAAATTAAGGGGACTGGCACAGAGGTAGAGGACCAACTAGCTGTTGGTAATATTCCGACCATCGATCTAGACACTTCACTATATATTAGGTTCTCACCATTACTTGTAACTAATTCACGGAAAGTACTTTAGGACCCGTTTTGCAGCTTCCGAGCATTTTCAGCCGCACCGGCCTGTTTCAAAATTTGCATTTTCTGTAATGTACTACTCTTTGCTGAAATGAAAATCCGTCGACAGCCCACAGCCGGTTTCGCCTTTTTTGGGGCTCATCAGGTAGGCGCAGTCCCCGGGTTTCCGTCAACATTATGTTCTACTTGAGACCAAATTGCACGGAATTAGCGAATATACACTCGTTTTCAAACTAATTTCGTTTTTCGAGAGACTCACCTGGAACTCAGCTGAATCTCTCGTTTGTGATGTTTTCAGGCAGTTTCTGGTTCGGCCATGCTTCACTGTTTGCATAGGTTACGTTGGGGCTGTGGTCTAATCGATCGATAGTACTCCGACCCCGAGAGGATAGAGGACCCTGCATCAAGGAGTGATAATAACCGTTCTGAAACCCAGTGACTTCCGCGCGCGTGCTCCGAAAAGCCACAGAGTTCACGGTGTCACGTATAGCCGTGGTTATCTCATTTCAATTGCGGTCAATATCCTCTGATGAGGTAACTAGTCCTGCATTGCATTGTAGGCCTTGGTATGTTCCCCGAACCGGTGACTCACAAAGTCTTTCTGTTGATAAATGAGGGGTATGTTTCTAGGGTCTACCGCGGAAATCTAACGAAAAGCTGTAGCGAACAACAGTATGGCCTGAATCAACATGTGTACTTCGAAACGTTCGGCAATCAGGAAGCGAACCGCACCATCGGCAACGTGTTTAATTTGATCCCAAGACTGCTCAGCAGTGGAAAGAATACCAGGCAGCACAATGGCACCCACCGCATCTGAACCCAATCAAGTGTTGCTAAGAAGCAACAAATTCTAAGACATTCACCGCTATCAATGTGCTTTGTGTTCAGACTGAACACACCACCGGGGCCCGTTTCTGATGAACTGGGACAGCTGAGTATTACACTGAAACCCCCTCCTATTTTAAATGCATTCCAGATCTGCGTAGTCCACATGACAGTAGTCAGTTCTCCATAAAAAGGTATCCTGCAATGAGTCGAGGCTGGGGTTCATTGCGCAATAAACATAGAGCGTTTACCATTTTCACCAGTGTAAGTTTTTGTCAAAGTAGGAACTCGTACAACGGAGACTTGGTTGTTTACAGGTACCCAGTAGAACAACGAGACCTTTTCACCTACACCAAAAACGGTGCAACCCACTACAGCAGTTGGAAGATCACTCGAAGTTCGGCGTCCAGGGAGAGAGGGCCCCGTATGGTCAACATATTTACTTGGATCGTGCACTCGAGTTTCAGAGAGGCAACAGAAACCAGTCGACAGAGTACCTAGAGTAGACACGAGGCTGATTTACCTGAGAGCCCTAAAGCAGATCGTCCAATAGGATTTCAATAAAAACAAAACAAGCCTGAATAGCGGGTTCGGAGCTGCAGATGTACACGCGTCAACTTCACATTTAAACTATTGGAGAAAAGCATCAATCAAGCACAAGTACCTTGCGTCTCCTAGTTTTGATCATGAATTCGCGGGCAAGATGGGTGGCCGGTTGAGGCACCAACGGCTGAATTTGGATGGAACGATCCAGAGGGTCTCCGGGAACCATTTGCCAATGATTGAAGACAAGTAAGCAAAATGCCTGCCCTTGTGAATGCGTACGCAGATCGGTCTCGAAACCAAACGAGTCCATCACTGGCAAGAACGCACGGATCACGTACAGAGGAGAGCCAGAGATAGGGGCATCATGGGTCACATGACCACTGAAAAGGATAAGAAATATACGGTAGTGTGATTCGATATATAGTGGAAAAACTTGAGTAGCATACCGTTGGACACAGCACGAACTGAATAAATATGAGTATGCTGTGGAATAAGGTTGGAAAGAACCAGGATCCTTCGGTACATTGTTGTACAAATACCGTTGTGCTTGAAATAGCTTGAATGACAAGAGAGCTACGAAAAACACATTGTTTTAGAAAACAGAAAATGGAGGCTTTCGTCTTAGAAGGGTGCTCAGTCAACCAGAAAATTGAACAACACCCATT